ACACACACTGGGAAGGATGCCAAACTTGGAGAGGAACCATAAACTAGAGATATTTCCATGCTTTGTTTTTAGCACTCGCCCATACGCATGTCCATCCTCTTATCCAGTTGTCACAGCTGCAGTCCATGAAGAGGATCAAGGCCCTCTCCTCCCGAGTAGACGTCTCTCCCTTATCCTCTCCTCCCTGCGTGCCCTAGGATGGAGAGGGGATGGGCCTGGGTCCTCCTCTGACTGCCCAGCCAGCCTCAGCCCTTCCCCAGCCTCCTCCACAACCTCCGGAGCCACACCTCCACTCCCTGTCGGCTGTTCCTCCTCTCCCTCAGAGTCTGACTCTAACAAGGGCATGACACTGTTCAAAGTTACAAAGTGATTTATAACCATTTTTCATGCTGACATTCATCCCCATGATTAGTGAACAAAATTCAGGTGAGGGCCACCGGTTCATATTTATGATGGTTGCAATGTCGCGGGGGTTATGTGATCCCATTTTGTGACCTTTGGATGAGCCAAATCAACGGGAAAGCCAGATTAACTTACCAACTGTGTTACCAGTTTAACAATTGCAGCGACTCACTTAATAAACGTGGAAAACAAAGGAGGTACAATGGAGCAAAACTCACTTAACAGCTGTCACACTGAGCAACAAAAATTTGTAGCTATACTGGTACACCTTAAAAATAATATTTTGTTAAATAATATTCTGTGTCTTCTTTATCCTTTATTTTTACTGTTGATCTATCCATCTCTGCACAGTCTAATATAGATTTCATCAGGGGTGGGATTCAAATTTTTTAACAACCGGTTCTGTGGGCATGGCTAGGTAAGTGTGTCTAGGTGGGCATGGCCATGTGACTGGGTGGATGTGGCTTCTTCTTTTTTGCCTCCTGGGCCTCAGGGGAGCCTCCTGGGGGGCGCTTTTGCTCCCAGAAGACTTCCCTGGGGCCCAGGAAGGCAAAAAATGGAGTGGGGGGTGCAGCTCCCACCCCCACGAACCCCCCTTTGCCTCCTGAGCCTCAGGGAAGCCTCCTAGGCAAAGCAGTAAGACAGTGAGGGGGATCCTGGCACAGCTGATCGATGGAACAGCTGATCGTCGGGAGGGGGAAAAAAGAAATACCTTAAGGAGTGACTGGGAGGAGGAGAACACAGTCAGCGATGTCGGGCATGCACATGATGTTGCGTATGCATGATAAGGACTGACTGGGAGAGGAGGGGAGGGGAGGGCAGAGAGGGGTGGGGCCAGCCAGGGGCACAATTTGCTGGTTCTCCGAACTGTGCAGAATCATAACAACCGGTTCTATAGAACCGATCCAAACCAGTAGAATCCCACCCCTGGGTTTTATGAATGGTTCGAAGATAAGATCTTTTTTATAATGTGGTGGCCAAAACTGGATGCAGTTTTGTTAATTAAGCATTGTACCTTATGATTCTTGGCTCTTGACGAATGTATCTTTTTTTTATGTACACTGAGAGCATCTGTACCAAAGACAAATTCCTTGTGTGTCCAATCACACTTGGTCAATAAAGAATTCTATTCTATTCTATCATCCACCCATACTCCCAGGGAGGCACAAAGATTCCCATCAGTTTGTTGCATCAGTTTATTAGGACTGCAGAAAAAAACAATGGCTACCAACCTGCCTTCCATGGAGGACCTGTATCCTGCACAAGTCAAAAAGAGGACTGTGAAAATATCTACAGACCCCTCACATCCCGGACATAAATTGTTTCAACTGCTTCCCTCAAAATGACACTTATAGAGCCCTGCACACCAAAACAACTAGACACAAGGACAGTTTTTTCCAGAACGCCATCACTCTGCTAAACAAATAATTCCCACAACACTGTCCAACTATTTACAAAGTCTGCACTACTATTACTATTAATCTTCTCATCACTCCTTATCGCCCATCCCTTCCCACTTGTGACTGTATGACTGTAACTTTGTTGCTTGCATCCTTACGATCTATATTGACTGTTTCCTAGTATGATTCGATTGCTTATTGTACCCTATGACTTTTATTAAGTGTTGCACTTGATGATTCTTGACTCTTGACGAATGTATCTTTCCTTTTATGTACACTGAGAGCATTTGCACCGAGACAAATTCCTTGTGTGTCCAATCACACTTGGCCAACAAAAGAATTCATTCATTCATAGTCGGGATGATATTTGATTGGATCATGTGATGGACTGGAAGGTGCAGGGGCTGGATTTTGAATTTCATTTAGGAAGGGAAAACTCAAAATTTTCGGATTTGGGTTTCTCCAGAGGTGCCAACATGACTTCTTCCTTAATTAAATTCTTACTTGGATGAACTTTGTTTCTGGGTGCTGAATGAGAATGGGGAGTTTCATTGGAACACTGACATAGTCTTTTTGCTAAAAAGTGGAAGACAGAACATCCTGCCCTTATGCTAACCCAGAGACCCCATCCTTCTAGATCCTTATTAAAAAAAAAAACCTGGGAAGAAATTTTAACAAGTCCATCAGACTCGAATGATATCAAGTTTCCTTGACTCTTAAAAAAAAATATCAAAATCCTTGCAGAAGCGATAGCCCTAGGGTTTTAAATATTTCAAGCACTGGAAAAACTGCAGGAGTTCAAAATAGTAACTTTAATTGGCATGCCATTCAACGTTATTGCCTGCTATACTATATTCTAACAGATTTATTGACCAAATTTACACAGGGTGACTGACAGCTGCTCAGAAATCAAACACCAGCTATGCTATTAGTACCTAGGAATTGCCATGGGTTGAATATTCGTGTCCAGTGCTACAGCTGCTGAAGGAACAATGTTGTTTGAAGCAAGATAATCATTAGAGTGCCTCAGTTTCTCTATTGGGGTGTAAGGATGACCTTAAGGAGATAGAAGGAAAGATACTGCCTAGGGAACAATTAGATAAGAGGAGGTACTGCCTGCAGCTGCACAACGGGAAGAGCAAGGATCCCTCCTAACTTCTCAGATTGTAAAATAGACAGTGGGAGATTTGTCCTTTCACACTTGCAACTGATGACGTGTTTGACCCCTCCCTTCGGCTCAGCCTGGTCATCTCCTACAGTTCTATTCTTTTACTTCTGTTCTGTTTATACTCTTTGATTTTTCTTCCTTTTTATTATTGTAAGCTTAGAGTAGGCTTAGAGTAGCTTCATGGGTGGGTGGGTGGGAGGATGATAGATAGATAGATAGATAGATAGATAGATAGATAGATAGATAGAT